TTTTTTTTTTGGTTGAATCCAATCATTTCAACATTATCTGAAATTTTGCATGAGGGCAAAAAAGTTTTCACTTCATATTGTGTTCAAATTTGTCACACAAATTTCCTGCTTGGTTTGACAGGGACTTCTTTTTTTGAAGAAATTTCACTACCTACCTTGAAAGAAATGCTATAAATTGATTTGGAGTTCAAGAACATTTTTTTCCATAATCTTTATTTAAACATTCTGTATTTAAAGTTTTCACATGACAGTACTTTTTGGATGAACAGCATGGTCAGTATGACAATATATGAGTGGTTAGTGCTAACTAGCAGCATAATGTCATTAACATTACACATTATCATACAGATGAAAACTCACAATGGAGTTATTCCCTAAAATACAGTCTGTGTAAATTTAGAAACCTGTTATTAACTTTAATATTTAAAATCCCTTAATAAACATTATCAACTTTTACAGAGTCAAAGTTTAAGTTATTTAAATAAACTTTTCAAGTACAAGTTAATGTTCTACAACATTTCCATGTATTTCCTTATTGACTGTTAACATGTTTAGAAAAGTTTGAGGTTTAAATAACATTAACCAACAAAGACGGTTCTTAGCATTGAGGTTGGCATCATTATCCTAACTCTTGGTCTTAGGGGCTGCAGTCCATTATGCTTTCTGGCCAGTATTGGTCCTGCATGTAGTCCTCAAGGTTGTTGTTGTTGGGGTTTGAGGTATGGTCAGTGTTTGAATCCTGGGGCAGGATGTTCTTTTCCCACTGGTCCTCTACCAGCTTGTACAGGTCCATGGCAGCACAAGCGTCCTCTACAGAGCAGTGACCCATTCTTCCAGACTAAAAGAAATATCCAGTATGTAAACATCAAGCAGCAAGTAAAGAGAAAATACACCAAGCTTGATGTTAAAACTTTATCTCATGAAAAAAAGCTGATCTGCTACATAGTCTTACCTGTACGGTCCTATTGAGAAGTTTCCGAGACAGTTTCTTCAAAGAGACATTGCATCTAGTGGAGGCGTTATACAACCCTCTCAGCAATCTACAGGAACAGGTATCCCTAATCATTTGTGGTGGGACGGAGATGTCAAGAACCTGGAAATCATTAAATAAGGCATGGCCCACAATAATTTTCCCTGTGAGGATGTCGACAATCTAAAAAACAAAAAGGAGAGCGTTATTTCAGCAATATTCTATGAAATACAGTAGCCATTTA